GATAAATAAAGCCATAATGTGGATTATTATCATTTTATAGATGAGAAAACTGGGCTGAGGAAAAAGAAGTGAATACCACATAACAACCCAGGAAAAAAACTCAAGTCTGCTTCAAACCCTAGGACCTTGCTTCACACCCCTCCATGTTACTCCACTTGTCACCACTATATTTGGGATGATAAAAAACTGTGCAGCTGTTAAGAAATACACACAGAAAAGTCCCAATCAAATACAGTTTGTATCCCAATCTAAGAGGAATTATTTACATACCAGCTGTTTTAACTTAGAGGAGACACTTAACCTCTCTGTACTTGGCATTCATTCAGGACTGCCTTAAGTGCTAAATGAACAGTAACATGCAGGTCTTGGTCCAGCGCACAATATCTTATAATAGTTAGCTTTATTATCACCACTATTATTTCACAAAGATTTATTGTTCAATGTAAAACAAAACTTTAAGGAATCCTAATTTTATTTCTCAAATTCTTAACAGAGCCAGCCTTCATCTCTTTTTAATTAAAATGTAACAACAGTCAGAGGTCCTATTTAGGAGGACAGAGAGACAAAATGTGATGAGCAGGCACCAGCAGTGCTCACATTTATAATCTCTGGAAGACTCAGCATGTTTATCTAGAAATAACTGCCTCCATTTTATTTTCTTTCTTTCCTTTTTTTATTATAGCAGTTATTTTTACATCATTTTGTAGATTTTTTTTTCCATCTCAATTGTAATCCCCACAAGTGTGTGCCATCACCATAATCCCATACACTTCCCTCCACACCCCCCTCCCTTTTTGATCCCACTCCCCACTCCCCACCTCCACAAAATGTCTCTGGTATATGGCTAGAACTGCCTCCATTTTAACAGTAACACAACCTATCATGCAACTCTCTCCTTTCTAAATAAAAAAGTATTACTCTAAATTTAGTAACAAGGGAAATATTCAAATTTGCCCATGCTATTAAGTGTGTGCCTTCTGATGAGTAGGGAAAATGTGTTCACAAGCAAGTTACTTTCTTTAGCTCTTAGCTTCTTCCAAAACCATTCAAAGAAAATGCTTAACTTTGGATGTGTATCCTTAGCTCTGACAGAATGTTCCCTTTGTTTGAAAGGAAAAACTCCAGATTCAGAAACCAAAAAATGTTTTTGGCATTAAATGGCCTCATGAAGAATATGTCTATTCAAATGTATACCGCCAGAGACCACTGCTCAAGTTCCTGTCCCCTGATGTCATCTTATGACTGGCAGTTTCTCATGGCAGTGTGGTGAAAAGGAGTTGCAAAAGAGATTGAGAAACAGACACATCTTGTCACTGCGGACAGACACAGTCAGGAAACAGTATCCTGGTGAATCCTGCAGCCTAATACTGAGCTCCAGACATGTTGGTGGCTAGAAAGGAGGTATGGGCAGTAATGTGGTGAAACCCTAATTTGTGGAGACAGTACTTAATACCTTTAAACACATGACAACAGACCCAAAATGGAGTCATTTGTGTTAAGCTTCACCAAAAAGAAGCTTAGCTTGGTCACCTTCTCAGCATCTCCCAGAAACAGAATCTTAAACCTATCGATCAAAATCATCTATGAGTGCTAGAGAGTGAGGCAATCTGACGGATCTCTACACTCATTAGATAGAAGTGGAGTGGCCATAACCAATTACGTTTTGTTACTTCATATTAAAATCTTGTATTTTCTATTTTCTCCTAGCTCCTTTTGTCTGCGAGATTGGATGTTATCCTATTTGTGAATCGTTGGGTAAAATCAAAATGATCTTGAAAATTTACTCAGTTGAAATTTGACTTTTAAAGATACTTTTCAAAACACCTCCCTCCAGTTATCTTTCAAGCCACCCAATGATGTAGGGCCAGAATTATCCTCCCACTCCTCAAACAAAGTTTCAAAGAGGTCTCTTAAATAGCCTAGATCTCCCTGGTAGTGGGTTTAAGTAGCGATCTAGAAAACCCAGTGCTGGCTCTCAGTCCTAGGCACTTCTTACCATACCTTCATCCAAAGACCCTTCCAAATTCCACTGTAATAACATAGTAAGGGCACATCTTGAATATATTCTTTCCTTTGAGACTTAATCGCCAGTTTGGGTAAAATAACCCCTCTATTTAAGTCTCTCCACATTCTCCACGCTGACAGCGCCTATTTGGCCTGGGATGGATAGCAAAACCCACCTCACTGTCCAGGTCGGGGTGGTCTGGTCAGGTCTGGGGTGGCGGTGATGTGTTGTTTTCCTCCAAGTGACCTCAGCAGGTAAACTTCATCTGGGGCGCTCAGATGTAAGAATAGCCTCAGGCGTTCCAGCCCCAAATGTAGCTCCTTGAAATTAGAAAACGCGGGTTGTTTGCTTTGCTACTTGATACCCATGGGCTGGGGTGTTGAAGAGGAGAATCCACCCGGAGCCCTAGCACCCTGTGAGTGCCCTAAGGCAGAACCCAAAGAAAAGCCACCGAAAAACGGAACACAGAGCTCGGGGTCACAGAGGGTTCAGGTTTTGTACTCGCAGGAACATTCCCAGCCAGCTGCAAACACCTCCCCCACCCACCCCACCCACACACCCACACACACACAGGCACACAGTTGCCTTAAGTCAATTGCATACATACAAGTCTGCCAGCCTCTTCTAAGGATCCCCTTCCTACCTTCTCCAAGGTGCCCTGGGAACTGCCTGGCCTTACCTGCGTGGTCTCCAGTATTTGGCAAGTCTCTCTGGTGTCCCTCCCACCACTCCCAAGTCTTCTGCAGCCTCCCTTTTCTCCTTCTCCCGCTCGGCCCCGTACCTCCAGCTCTTCTCTTCTCCACCCCCAGTCCAGCCTCTGCTGGGTTAGGCAGTAGAAAACTTTGCCCTTGCGCCCTGTAAACGCAACTCTAGATTGGGGTTTGAAAGGGTGGAGTGGGAGAGCAGGGATGAGGGAAGCGAAGCGACGCCCTGACGCCACTGCGCTTCCCAACCCCCCCACCATCCCACCCCACCCCCATCACTAGCTACCGTGGCAACCCAAGAAGCTCCCTAAGAAAGCCAGCGCTGCTCCAGGCCCTGCTGCTGCAGGAAGATGCCAAAATCTGTAACTGGAAGGAAAGTGGGCGCCCGCTGCTGCCGTACCCACAGCTCTCCACCCGGATACCCGCCGTGGGCTCGGGGGACAGCCCTGCGTGGGCTCGGCGGCTCTCCCTGGAGGCACAGACAGAACTGCGCTTTTAGGAATCCAGCCAACGAAATGAACAGAATTGGCGATTGTGGATTGCTAGCCTCCAATACCGCAAGTATCCGTACTCAACATTCAGTACCATTGCCTGAAATGAAGAAGATCCCGGTGAGTGTTTTGGATTAAAGTCTGCACTGAAATCAGTGGCCTCCTGCCTGCAACTTACCCCCAGAGAGGGCGGCGGAGTCGATCTCAGCTACTGCTCCGCTAGAGCTCTGGTCTGAGGACGTCCGTGTCAGCATTCCTCCACACTAATCGTCATCTAGTCTGGCCGCCAGAGTTGAGAATCCCATCAGAGAAGTGCAGCTGAAAGCATCCAGATCGCGGTGGGTGCCGGGGAGAAGCGGCCAGCCAACACAGAAAGTTCACAAATAGAAAGCTAAGCCGGTTCTTGAAGCTGAGCACAGGAAGTCCCTTCACCGCTAGGGGGCCTCAGCGCGCCCAGGCAAAGCTGTTGTCTCTGGAAAAGATTCTTGAGCCTTTACAACAGTCCACAACACACAGATAAGCCAGTTCTGTTCTTTTTGGAAGCGTCCCTTTGAAACTGAGGCTAAGTGGTTAAGTTGGTCTCAGACCCTAAGAGCACAACAGAGAGCAAAAAATGCACCTAACTTTCTCTTGGAGGCTTCTATTCGCAGACATACCATAGCTTACACAACTCTGAGCTAGCAGAAGCAAACAAGCTTGAACTAAACTCCTAGGTCAGTTGGAGACTGAGAAAGCAGGGGTAGGAGTACCCTACCCAGAGGTGGAGGCTCGCCAATAGAAACTCAAAACTCCAGTCTCTGAGGAAACATTTCTTCGTGCTTTTTCATTTATGACTGCCCTTTGACTAACCAATTCCGTGCATCTTTGCCACAAAACCTTTTCGGTTTCAACTCCTTTGTTCTCAACCCTGGTCTCCTATAAAAGTTCATTTTTTTTTTTTTTTTCATAACCAGGGAGGTAGATTTTAGTTTTTCTCCTACGTCCTTACCAATCAATTCAAGATGAAGTTCATTTTCTGACCTAAGGTAGAGTCCCCATTTCTTGGTAAAATCTCCTGCTCAGTAGAAACAAACTCCACCACTCTTCCCTTAGTTCCTTGACTTTGCCTTTAGTCACTTCCAGGTTGTGGAACCACATCTCAGGTATTTGGGATTTTACTTGCCAGGTGTCTCTCTGGAATATCCCCTCTCCCACAGCTTGGTTTGAAGCGAGTAGTTAAGGAGAAGCACGAAGCACAAAGTCCTCTTCAGGTGAACCAATATAACAGTAGGAACCAATATAACAAAGCCAGGTGAGTTCTAACCGGAAGTCAGCCTTCTTCCGTTTAGGGCTTCCTGCTTGAGTCTAGAATGGTTTAGAGCTGAAGAGCTCTGAATATTTGGATTCTGTCTCTGGAATTAAAGTTGCCTGATGGCATTGGGAAAGACTTGCATTAAGCTAAATCAGGAAGAAAAGGATGTAAGGTATGTGCTGTATTTCTGTTATAGACTGAGTTATACCTGGTACTTTTCTGATTTATCTTAAGCATTCCTGTCAACATTGATTATTTGCCACCATTTTACAGAAGAGGAATTTGTGGTATAGAGAGGTTAAATTATTTGCCCAGGGTCACAAAGCTACTCAGTAGCACAGTCAGGCTTTGAAAACAGACATACCTAATACCAAAGTATGTCCAGATTCTACCATGCTCCTGAAATTAAGAAACCAAGCCTGTTTCAGAAATAGTTAAAAGAGAAGCAGAATCAGGAAGAAGCTGAAAAAGTTTTAAAATAAGAGCAAATATCCATGCAAAGTAAATCAACAAGATGAATTGTGAAAATTAAAGCATTAGTGCTAGGTGATAAATGGGACATGGTGAGGTAGATATGTGTGTGTATGTGTGTGTGTATGTATGTACACATATGTGTACACTTATATATACAGTCTTATAGAAAGACTGAGAGATTTTGTACCAAGATTGTAGGATTTGTTCAATCCCCTCTTAAGCCACTCTGAAATCATATTTTTGTGTAGGGTGTTCTACACATTTCTACGTGCATGGTCAACATCTAGTCACAGTTAAAGGAGGCCCACATTCTGGAAAATTCTCTCTAGAACTAAGAAAATTCAAAGACAGATTTTTCAGGCTAGGAAAACTCACTAGAAATCTGTTGTGTTCTCCCTGGGATCTGGAAATAGAATTTCCCAAGTGTTAAATACTGTGGCTTTCCAAGACTGCATGATGGACTGATTAACTCTGCAGAAATCACTGACAATTACAAACTAAACTCTGAACTGGGGAAGTTGAGGCTGCTTTCATTTTATTTTCCATGGAAAAAGTCATCTTCCAGGTTGCAGTATCCTCCAAGATCCACCCAAGAGCAGTGAGAATGTCAGGAACGAATCACCGTGTCAGATACTGGGCTCAGGCCCAGACCCCTTTTGTTACACACAAAGCTGCATTGTAGCCAGGACAGCTTCCAAGGAGCCTAAAAGCCTGGCAGCTGCCCACCCAAGCATAGCCAGGCTTCACAAGAAATAATGTGCACTGTAACTGAGATGCAGCCCTGTTTCTGTGCTCAGTTGACAGCAAAGGGGAAATGAGGCTCTGTACAAAACAGGAAGGAAATGAAATGAGATGAACTGCATAATAAGCAATGAGAAGAAGCCTCATGGCATCACCACCACACAGGCTCCAGGAAGAAGCAGATCCTGCATGGGAGTGGAACCAAAATGTGACAGGAAGTGAAAGAACCCAGGGTCTGTCATTGGGTCTGTCTTAGTTTCTTTTCCTCTGTCTGTCTGTCTGTCTTTTTGTCTGACTATCTGAAACATCCACTGGTCACAAAATGTCAATGTCATTTTACATACATGGTGAACTTGCCATAATCACATTCACTGAGAGAGAAAATAGAGTAGCAGTTAGGGGCTGGGAGAGAGGGACCGGGGAGTCACTGTTTTGTGGGTACAGTTTCTGGTTGGGAAAGCAGTTTTGGAGATGTAGAGTGGTGATAGGTGTGTATTATTGAAATGTACTGTGTCACTCAATTATTTATTTTGAAATGGCTAAAATAGCAAACTTGTTATATATGTTTTGCCATAGTAAACATATTTTCAAAGATTTTTTTATAATTTGTTACGATGTAATACTTTTCTGGAGTGAAAATAATATGCTGAGAAGGTGCCTATTTCTAGAAATTCTTAATTTTAATAAATATTGCTCTGTTTTGCTTCCTTTAGGGGTGCCAGAGCCCAGCTTGGAGTTATTGCATTCCCCTACTCTGAAGGAAAAACAATTCTGCCATTTCACACTGTATGCCTCTACTAGTGCTAAATAGCTTGAGCCACTGGGATATATTCAGAAGGCAATCGTACTCTGAAAGTGTAATGGAGTGGTCCCCAGGGAAAGGGGAGGTTCCAGTTTCCATGCCCCACCCAAGGGAGGGTGGGGCTGGGCTGGGACTAGAAGCTGGAGAAGAGACTATGAGAAGAAGGAAGAAGAATGGGATCAAGGAGACCTGGAGGAGGCACATGGAGCAGAGAGACATGAAACACATGTGGATGAGAGACCTGTAGGGAGGTTCCCAATGGCAGTTTTATCTTGATTTTGAGTTTGCTCCTTCTGTGCTGGGCCCCTTCTGCCCCTCTCCTATGGTTCCCTACCAGGAGGTACCTCAGATTTTTGGCAGGCATTCAGGCCTCAGTGACTCTGCTTTGGGCCAAACCTGTTTGGCTGGGCATTTACCTACCCATGAGGGTAAGAATAACTTCAGGTGCTTGATTTGGAAACTATATTCTTTGTCTTTTCTTTGTGGCACTCTAATTGTATAAAGTTGCTTTCCATTAAAGGCCTTAAACACTAGGGTGTTTTTGTCTTGATGTGATGGATGGTTAACCTCTTTACAACAGACAGGTTTGAGGGTTCTAGGGTGCCCCTTACCCTACCCTGTAACAAAAGGAGCTCTACCTTTAAGAGAGAAAGAAAGTCAAAACAGAGTTGTGACCACAGATGAGTGTGCTGTTTACTTTCAGCAGCCAGGACACCAGACACAAGAACCCTGCAGCTTTAGCAACCCCTGATGCCAGTGTCTTCCAGTATCCTGGAGACAACAGCATGAGAGACACACATGAGCCCTAGGTCTTGACAGATTACAGGAAAACCTGTCCTTAGTCCTCCTTTCTCACTTCATTACACAATTCCCATGTTTCCCCTTTGAAAAAGCCCTTAGCTGAACAGGTCAGCCAGAAACTGCACCTGTTCTGTGGTCTATTTTTGTGATGGAAAATGTGTTACACATAACAAAATTGAGGTCTCACTTCAGTGCAATGATAAACAGTAACCTGCCATTAAAACTAAAAACAGAAATTGTTTATATTGTCTTGCCAACTAGCTTATGGTCCCAGAGACCTTGCTGAGTTCTAAATCCCCCCAACTTCTACCACCTCATGCTCAGGACCTAGCATTGAATTCACTTGCTTCACTTGTTTCATATAAACTTTCTAACTGCTTGAATGGCTTGTGTGGTAGGATTTGAATGTCCCACTGCAAAAGACAGAGGCTTCAAACTAAGATGTTTGGGACAGTTAATGTGTTCAAAATTCAGTTTATTGATCTAGGATTTAAGGTGTTCCTAGCTGTGATCTTAACTAAATTTAATTACCCTAAGGCCCATGATGGTCCGTCAGTTGCTCGGGAACATTCTTTACATTCCCCTATCTTTGTATCTCAAGCTGTTAATTGCTTCTTTTACTTATCACAGCTATATCTACAGATGAACTGGTACTTCAGTATTTCAGGTCTGACATGTCATTAGGGCCTGTGGTGTCCTTCCAGCCCAGTGTAGACGATTTCCCAAGTCATTTTTACATGGCTGTTTGATAAGTACAGAATGAAACACATAGGTGAAACCCTCTGTAACTAGTAGGAATTTTTCTCATCATCCTGGTACTAAGAAGGGGAGGAGATATTATTTTTCTAAATCTTATTGTAAATCATATTAAATTGATTTTGTATCCTACTTAAGAAAGTGGGAAGAAACTAAACCTGCTGTAAATTGAGACCCTTTCTCCTCCCTATTGCTTCCTAAGAGTCCAAACGTTTATGTAACATCCAAAGGAAGGTTCTCGATCAATGTTCCATCATGGTCAATTCAGAGAACCCTGTGTTCAGTCTATGTGAACTGGGGTAGTCCTAGCATTCAATGCTAAGTGAGAGTGAGCAGCCTTCACCAAGGTCTCAGGCTCAGTTTCAGCATCCACATATCACCATCAGAGACTGCGGCCCTCTCTCTCTCAGACTCTCTCTACTCTTCTCATTAAAAAAAAAAGAAAAAAAAAAGTGGCTCTCCCTGGAGATGCAGCAAGTTAAAGCACAGCACTATGAAGCTAAAGCCACCTCAGCATGATA